CATCAACTTCGCGCTGTCGATCGCCGGATCGGCTTTCACCGTGGACGAAGCGGAGTCCAGCCCGGGGTCGATTATTAGATTAATCGATAAATTAGTCAATAGATTAATCGAAATAAAAATAGTCGTTAGTGGCAGCCCTACGTAACATGCTTTCGTATTCAAAACTATTATTTACTGGATATGTCATAATAAAAGCACAACACTTATGCCGGAAGATGCTAGAGACGAAAAACAGTGAGATGCAATGGCCAAAGATGTCCATTTCAATGTTTATTTTAGATTTAAAAAATAAATAGGCAAAATCTTTTCATTTACATGAACGCATTTTTCAGACACTTATCCAAAGCAAAATGCAATGCATTTAAACTATACATTTGATCAGTTCATGCATTCATGAGAATCGAACCCATGCTTCACTGTTATGTGAAGTGTAATAATTTATTTTATAACCGTTTGTTGCAAAAAAATGCAGATAAGACCTGATGATTATGCATATTAAGCAAGCGCTGCACACAGCAGAAGCCTTGAAATCTGAAGTGTATTGTTAAGGAAGATAAATTGGGCACTGAAACACTCACCTCCTCTATGTTTCGGATCCAGTTTTTGATGTTGTCAAATGATTTCTCATTGGTAATATCATAAACCAGCATGATACCCTGAGATCAGAGCACAAGACAAATTACAACTGTGCACAAAACAGCAATTATGAAGACAACAGCAGAAGTGTTATTACTGCGTTAACCCTGTGCTGAAAATCCTTAATCTATTTCAAAACTGTCCAGCCTTTTAAAGATTGCTTGTCAAACTCTCATTATGCAATAATATCACCAAATCTTGGTTTCAAACTTGTTTTCTCGCAATTAGCGCAGGCCTACGATCAATCATTTCCAAAAAGAAATACAAAATTTGTGTTACTGAAAAAAATTCAATATTTGGTAATAACAGCATACTGAGAAATTTATAAGCATTTTTGACCGAGAACACAACGTGTGTAACAAGGTGGGGGGAAAAGAAAAACATTTAGAAAATATTTTTGGGAAGTAGTTATAACTAGTGTAAGCCAAGTCAATAGGTTTTGGTCTAATGCAATAACATTAACTACTTTTTCTGGAAAAAGAAAATCCTCTCCAGAACACAACATAAGGGTTAACCAGCGAGACAGACCAGAAGCTCATACAAAGCACAGTAAAGGAGTACATACTTCAGCATCATCTTACCATTGCACCTCTGTAATACGCCGTTGTGATCGTTCGGAATCGCTCCTGTCCTGCCGTGTCCCTGTAAAAATCAAACAATATCAGTGTTGTAACTGCAGTCCTGCTGAAATGCAGTTAAACTGGAGGATGACCTCCTCCTTACGAGAACAATGACAAAAGTGAACCACTGACACGTGCTGCTCTGTAAAGGAGAAATTAAACTGGTCATGGTTTCACTAGTCAAACAGCGGCTCCTTCAGAAAACGAAGTCACCCATGCCATTCCAGCAATCTGCTAATGCTCAACTAGTGCTGAGAGTGACACTAGAAGGAAAAGACGACCAGAAACTCACCATATCTGTAACTTTATCTTCTTGCCATCTAGTTCTATTGTCCTGATCTTGAAATCGATACCTGGAAGAGACAATACGTAACTGCACAACTGTCATAGGCTGAAAAACCAACCCAATACAGTGTCTCTTTCAAATATGTCCACTTCCAGCAACATCACACTATTTTTATCCATAGGATGCATATGAACACATGCGTTATGAACAGATGGCAAAGCCATGCATCAAATCAGCTAGACATTTCTTATCAGCCTTTCATATGACAAAGTAACAAAAACATAAGCATGACCAGTAAAATTATACATTATTGAATGATCTTAACAGAGCAATTGATTAAGAAAATGTTCCATTTACATCAATACACTCAACAAGTACCATATTACTACCACGCTTTTGGACATATTACCATGAAATCATCACATTTTTTAACATGTAGATGTCGATACCACGGTTTCGGACGTTCCACTCTATAAAGTAACTTGGATTACTACGGTTAAAGTATACAATAATCATTCAGCACCAAGGTATCTATATCAAAGTACCTTCTGATATTAGCATAACTGTACCATGGTACTACCACAGTAAAAGTTTCGTAAAGCTATTTAACTGAAAGCGGACATGTATATTATTATATTATTAAGTCCTAAACATCTTATAGTGTTATTTCTAATCATATATTTTAAGCATTTTAATTGGATATTCACAGAATGATTCTAGTTATTTGATATTTAAGTTTACAAAATAAGCGAATCTATCATTTAGTATCGGAGTCATTCTGTCAGAACAGCTAACAGTTGGATGCTAACCAACAGAAACGTTCATCAAACAGACACCTTATCACCGCACAAAAATAATTAATTAAATGACAACACCAGCAAAACTGTCAAAGTTAAACAAAACAAACCACATGAACTCAAGAAGAGCTAACAGTTACTAGTCCATTAGCCTAGCCGTTAGCACAGCCTGACGTTTTTATAAACAATCCGAGTACAAAACCTTTAAAACAGAGACATTAATACCTATCGTCGAAATAAATGTCGAGTTAAAGGCATCCTCCGAGAATCTGAACAGCACACAGGTCTTCCCGACGCCGGAATCCCCGATTAACAGCAGTTTAAACAAATAATCGTAGGTCTTCGCCATACTGGATGTATTGCGGAAATCCCGCCCGGTACTTTAGCATTGCATTAAAATAAAGAGAATATGAAAATAATGTAAAAATGCCGAAAAAAGAAGCTTCATCTTCTTTTGCAAGATATAATAATTACAATAATTTTGTACTTTTCTTGTGACATATCTGCCAACAGGCAAGTGTAATTTAAATAAGAAATAATTCTCAGATTGGTGTGGTGTGCAAATAAGTAAACATTTATTTAGTTTAACAGGTATAGAAAACATCAAACCACAGTGAAAATAGCCCTTGCAGCATCAAGGGTACAAAATGGTCCCATAAATGACAAGCAGTTTAAACAAATAATCGTAGGTCTTCGCCATACTGGATGTATTGCGGAAATCCCGCCCGGTACTTTAGCAGACAGCGCAGAATCCGCAAAGCGGCGAGGAAGTGACCAATCCTACTATGGCGAAGGCGGGGTATATGAATATTAATGAGGTACGTCATAACCTTCCAGCAACGTGCGGCCACGGACCGTCGTTAATATTCATAAGACACGCCTTCGCCATAGTCGGATTCGTTCGTTCGCCAGCGGTCGTGACGGCAACGTCGAACGTCAGAGTACACGATTAATATTCATAAGCTAAGTCTTCGCCATAGTGAGATTCGTAAAATGTGCTTCCTGAACTATCACAAGACCTCATACCTTCAAAGCAATTACTTACGTAAGTCTGTGCCTCAAGGTCATTACTAATTAGCGTGTGTGGCCGGTCAAATTCCTTCATAAGACTTGGCTTCAGGCCTGTGGTTTATTTTCGCTATGGTCTATTTCCCCATAATATTAATGTAAAACAATTTTTATATTCATAAATATTTAAATGTAAACATATATATATATATATTTGCAAACAGACAAGTTTAATTTGTTTATTTAAATAATAATAAAATAATTCTCAGATTGGTGTGGTGTGCAAATAAGTAAACATTTATTTAGTTTAACAGGTATAGAAAACATCAAACCACAGTGAAAATAGCCCTTGCAGCATCAAGGGTACAAAATGGTCCCATAAATGACAAACTAATAAAATCTTCTTCATGCCAAAAATAGTCCAAGAAATCTCTATGTTCCGATACCTTTACAACTTTATGTTTTTTTGGTACATTTGCATACATTTTCCTAGCATCACTACTAGAATGTGATTTACTAATTGTTTTATGCACTGACCCTTTGATGTTGCGTTTCCATTGTTTTAGGTATACTTTCTGCCTTTATGTTCATTCAGAAGAAATAAATAAAACAACACTACCCTTACACAGCAGACAGATCGAAAAAAAAAAAGAAAAAAAAAGAAAAAGGGAAACATTCTTACGTGCAATAATGGGTCATAATTTGAAAGTCTAAAAACATAAAACACTATTAACTATTAAAAATATTATTATATTTTGGTTGTATGCCACATATTGTGTCAGAAGTTGTATTTAACCTGCAGCACTCTTATAAATGGGACAAATGGCAACAACAAGATATTAGTTATTACTTAATGGACTAATAGGTGCATTAGGAAATAATCCGAAAATTATAAACCAAAAATAAAGGATGGAAATAACAAAACTTACAACATACAAACTCCAAAAACATGAAAAGCTAAACATCTTACACAGCAGACAGATCGAAAAAAAAAAACGAAAAAAAATGAAAAAGGGAAACATTCTTACGTGCAATAATGGGTCATAATTTGAAAGTCTAAAAACATAAAACACTATTAACTATTAAAAATATTATTATATTTTGGTTGTATGCCACATATTGTGTCAGAAGTTGTATTTAACCTGCAGCACTCTTATAAATGGGACAAATGGCAACAACAAGATATTAGTTATTACTTAATGGACTAATAGGTGCATTAGGAAATAATCCGAAAATTATAAACCAAAAATAAAGGATGGAAATAACAAAACTTACAACATACAAACTCCAAAAACATGAAAAGCTAAACATAAAACTGCTGCAATGTTCTTCATGGATTGCTTCTCGTTTGCTCACAAGCTGTTGAGCTCCTGAAGCGTTTGATCCAGGACTTGATGCATCTCCAGGTTCTGCTGTTTTGCCTCAGCCACATCCTCTGAAATAAACCAGCACGATGATTTAAAGAGACACAATAGCAAATATCTGTGCCATTTTTCTAAACATGATTCTCTAAAGTGTTGATTGCATAACAAGTCTGTCCCTTCCGGGTTTAAACCAGTAAACTATAAACCACAGCTGGGTTATGGAAGTAAAATCCCATTCATTTCGCCTCCACGGAGAAGCTGATTTTTTACAGATAATGCAGAAAACTTTTTAAAGAACAGAAATACTAACCCTTTAACAAAGAGCACGAGTGAATGTCATTATTTGCCATCAACTCTGTGCTTTGCATGAGACAGTAAGTTCTGAGATTCTTAAGTCATAATATATGAGATTTTAGTCATAATATATGTTTATGTAGAAGCCACATGTCTGATTTCAACTTTTTTTAAGCAATGTTTTTAAACAAATTGTTGCCATGTGCTCTTAAACTTCTTATAAATATTTGCATATATTTGTATATTTTGCTGTAAAACTTTTTTAGAAATAATAATAATTATTATTATTATTATTTCACTATTGCAAGTCTCCTTGTTTAAAAGGCATAAATATAAAGTGTGATTTCAACTTTTTTTTAACAAATTGTTTCCCTGTGCTCTCAAGTACTTATATATTTACATATATTTAAATATTTTTTTTAAATAATATTTAAAATATTTTAGACTAAATAAATGATACACACACACATATACGTTTTATTATTATTTTCTATGAGTTTTGGCTTTGTGACAAATTTCTTATCTTCCACTGTTGTAAGTCGCTTTCTTTGGATAAAATGCATAAATACATAAACGTAAATGAAAGCACTATATTCAGCATTGCTATACAAAAGAGGATCATTAACACTTTAAATATGAAATAACTATCACATGTCTAATATAAAAAAGTTGTTTCTTTATTATTTTGTGTTTCTATGAAAAGGGCCACAAAGATGGAGAAAGACTAGACTAGACTCAAGATCAGAGAGGCAGGAAATATGTATTATTTCTAAAAGCATGAAAATGAAACAAGTGGGAGTGATCAAAGAGCAGAAAAAAACTTTATTAAATTTTTGAGGAATAACCAAACTTCAAGAGAGTGCAAAATACATAAGGCACCGCTGAGGAAGAAAGGGTGAGCAGAGAAAGCGAGACAGAGGCACAGCCAATCAGGATTATTTATGCAGAGCGGCAGCGCTTGATTGAACGAGAGAGCTATCAATCACAGTTAGCACTCATAATGTTCAGCTTGAGCACTGCTGACACATAAAAGCATCTATAAGGAGGTCATATCATTGAGAGCGTGATCCAGTTCCTCACTAATGGCCTTGTATTTCTGCTTCTGAGCATAGAGTTCATCTGGAGGTCAAAGGTCAAGAGCAGAAAGGACAGGCGTTTCGGCCAAGGATGGAGAACGCAGGAGACAGGAACATGAAATGATAGACAGAAAACAAAAGGAAAACAGTAAGTTCAACAGGTCAAAGTGGACAAGACAGCATGATAATGCCTATGTAGGCAGCTCACTAGATACAAGATAGAACGGAAAAAGAAAGAGAAAAGGGGGATGAAAAAATTGAAGTCTAATCCTAAACACTTCGATTTGTTCATTTTTTGTGCATTTATATGTTCTGTATTATTACATTTATTTAATATTAATCAATTATGAAACAAATTCAATTTCTACAGATGATAATAGTTCTCAATAAACAGGAATATAACAGTGCTAATGTTTTATTCAATTGAAAATTATTTATTTATAATGAATATAAACATATATATAAATAATTTGTTAAGTTGTATTTAATACTAATCAATTATGGATTAAAAATTCAAAAGCAGCTCTACAGAAGATAACTCTTAATAAACAGAAATATAACAATGTTAATGTTTTATTCATGTGAAAATGATTTAATATTTATAATAAATAACTTATACAAATATATAAATAATTTATTACATTTTATTTAATATTAATAAATTACGAAACAAATTCATCTGTAAACCAGCTCTACAGAAGATCATAATTCTTAATAAACAGGAATATAACAAAGTTAATATTTTTATTACAGAAGATAATAGTGTCATTATTCAGCTAAATTTAGTTCAGTGTTCTTTCAATTTAGTTCAATAACAGTGTCAATGTTGCGAAGTTCATCAATTATGAAACAAGTTCGATTCGGCTTCAATTCATCTTCTCCAGGTGTTTGCAAAAACGTTTTAAAAAGACGAGTCAAACAGGCTGAAGATCCTAACACCGTTAGCTCTGCTCTTTCAGTACAATGAAAAGAGAAATAAAGCCGCTGCACACGGTCATAAGAGACAAAGGCTAATGCAGCTGACGGTGTTAGTGACCTCATCAGCTGGAATTCCTCAGGACCCAATCACAGCTTACCCTCGAGGCCATCGATGGTCTTTTCCAGTTTGGCCACCGACCTTTCTGCAAACTCAGCACGAGTCTCAATCTACGGGGGAAAACGCAGAGAGAAAAAAGGATTTGAAAAGCTCCGAGAATGGCATGAATGTCACGCATCTGACCTACGAAAGAAAGACTTGCATGCAAAACTGTTAGAATGAACAGCTGCTTTAGGTTAAACTCGCTCACCTCTTTCAGTCTATCAGTGAGAACTTTGATCTCCTCTTCGTACTTGTCCTCTTTCTCCGAATACTACAGACAGAAAACATGCAAAAGCTTATTTAGATCACTGGTTCTCAACCGGTCTTTCTTCAGGTCTCAGATTTAACACTGGACATCAAGTGGCAACATAGTACCAGTATGGCTTACGTTAAATAAAATGTTAAAAGTATTGAAATGCATTGATATTATCATGAAATGCACAGACCCAGCAATAAAAAAATACTACTAGAACGGAATAGAAAAGTTTATAATTTTGTATATAAATAAACAGCACAAGTGTGATTTAACACTGAACAAACACTAATATATTGTTTTATTAGCCATATTACCCAGAGGTGGATGAATTTGCATAGAATTTGAAAAAATAAATTAGATGCATTTTATTCTCACATTGAAAAGTTCATAAGCCTATTAATTTACTGTCCTAATATAAATGGTAATATAATATATTTAAGCATTTATATTGTGCATTAGGACAAGAAACTAAAAGTAGTTTATTACGAAATACAACTAACCATTTCTAACTGTGTGTTTGATTAGTTGTTTTTAGTTAAATTACAGTCAAATTATGCTTTTGAAAAGTTGTTCGCTAGACTACAAGTCACTCAAACCACACTAAAGCCATTAAAGCCGTTTATTTTATAATCCTCCATGTTTTATAAAAACACCTTAAATTATATAATTGCATTTGAAATATAGTAATTAATAACAACAGTATTTAGCAAACATTTGATTTCCTACTAAAGTGCAGGAGCTTCATGTAACACTGTTGAGAAATGACTCAAATGAATAATTTTTTTTTGAACCAGCTCACTGTAATGAACCTTCTAAAGGCACTTGTTCGCTGAGATTAATCAGATTTCCCAGATTCCTGTGTTCTAGTTCCTTCGTGTTCAGTACAATTGGCCTCATTCATGAAACACTAGCAGAACCAGTTTCTGTGCAAATCATCACTTACATGCATCATCACATTCAGTTCAACAAACAGCTTAGATCAGAATGCGTTATGAACAATTAACACAGAAATTAATTCTGCTCGGTGGAATTATGGGTCATCGGTCAGTTGACTCACCTTATCCGACTGAGCTTCTATGGACTTGAGATTGTTGGTTACGTTTTTCAGTTCTTCCTCCAAATCTCCACCTTTACTGTAAAAACACAGATTAAAAAGTTGAGAACAGTTTTTGGTTCCCCAAAGAACCTTTCAGTGAACAGTTTCTAAAAGAACCACTTTTTTTCTTAGTGTGAAGAACATTTTAATAATCTAAACAACTTTTTTCCACTATTAAAAAAAACCCTTTTGTGGAATATAAAAGGTTCTATGGAAATTCTTCATCCATCAATGCCAATAAAGAACTTGACAGCTTGAATAGGAGTACCTGACCAAGTATTTTAATAATATCAAGTGTTGTTGTGCTTGCAACTAGTTTTCTGCATTTCAGTATTGATCATACAGTGATGCACTACAAAAAAATCATTTTCTTACTTAGTATTTTTGTCTTGTTTTCCAGTACAAATATCTAAACATTCTTTTAAATCAAGATAATTTTACCTGAGAAACAAAATGACTTGAGATATCAAGTCTTGTTTTCTGAAAAATGTATCAATAATTGTTTTCCCTTTGAATTAAAATCATTTTAATAATCCTATCCCCTGGGCAGATATTTTTTTCTTGTTTTAAGGAAAAACTAACAACCTTTTGATAAATTATTCAGAAAGCAGTATGATTTCACCATCCAGCTAGGTACTTCTACAATTACCCCATCGCCTTCGGTCAGAAATCAGAAAAGACCACATTGCAAAGACTGCTCGATCTTGCAGGTTTGCATTGCACAACATCAGAAAGATCAGGCCCTTTCTAACGGAGCATGCTGCACAACTTCTTGTCCAAGCCCTTGTCATTTCTAGGCTGGACTACTGCAGTGCTCTTCTGGCTGGACTTCCATCAAGCACAATCAAACCTCTACAAATGATTCAGAATGCAGCGGTACGACTGGTCTTCAACGAGCCCAAAAGAGCCCATGTTACACCTCTCTTTATCTCCTTGCACTGGCTACCGGTTGCGGCTCACATCAAGTTCAAGACATTGATGCTTGCATATAGAACAGCCACAGGCTCAGCACACGCCTACTTCCACTCACTACTACGAATCTACATCCCCTCCAGAAGTCTGAGATCCGCTAGTGAGCGACGCCTCGTGGTACCATCACAGAGAGGCTCAAAATCACTTTCCAGAACATTCTCGTTCACCGTTCCTGGCTGGTGGAATGATCTTCCCACCCCTATCCGGAATGCTGAATCCCTATCAATTTTCAAGCGACAGCTAAAAACTCATCTCTTTAAACACTACTTGACTTCACCATAAAAAAAAAATAATAAAAAAATAAAAACTTTTTCTTTCTCTTTATTTATTACTTCCCTTTTCTAGCTTGCACTTATTTGAACAAAGCCTAAAACTTGGTATTACAAGCACTTCCTGTGTCTGTTTGCCTCTTTAAGAAGAATCGCTTTATGTATTGCCCAATTGTAAGTCGCTCTGGATAAAAGCGTCGGCAAAATGACTAAATGTAAATGTAAATGTAAAACAAGACATTAGAGGCATCTATTTCGAATGAGGCTATGTTGCATAATATCTGAAGTTATTTTGCTTGATTCAAGAATTTTTAGACATTTGTACTAGAAAACAAGACAAAAAATACTAAGAAAATCATTTTATGCAGTGTAATCATTAATTTTCACATCATTAATATAGGTTTTACAACCAGACTGAATCAACAAGAAACCAATTTAAAGGCAACATTAAATCAAAATGGACCCAATTTTCTTATTTTATATTCATGTTTCTAAAATATTCATTTGCTGAAGTAAAATGGGGTTTGAACTCAGTTGCATGTTAACTTCAAACTGGATTTTCCAGCAGGCCACAAACCCATACTGATAAAAGTTTACACTATTAAAAAAAAAATTGTTTTTTTTTTTCGAAGTAAATAAAACAAAGATTATTGTAGATATGTTTTACAAGAAAATAGTATTTCAGTCTTTCTACTTCATGTTTAATTCGATGTGAATTTACTAGCAATTTATGAGTAAAAATGATGGAATTTAGTTTCCGCCGCTGGATAAAAATAAAAAAGGTAATTGCGACTGAATCTTCCAATTCTGACTTTTTTTTCTCGCAATTGCAAATTTACATCTCGCAATTCTGTCTTTTCTTCTCTGAAATGCATGAAATAAACAAACACAAACTTGTAATTGCAAGTTATAAACTCAGCGAGAAAAAAGTCAGAATTGTGAGTTTATATCTCGCAATTCAGACTTTATTTCTCGCAATTGCAAGTTTATATCCCACAATTCTGACATTATAACTCGCAAAAAAGTCAGAACTGTGAGATAAAAGGTCAGAATTGCACAATTGCCCGTTTATATCCCTCAAATCTGACTTTATAACACAATTTTGACAATAGTTTCAAAGCAAATCCTACACTTTTTTTTTTCAGTGTAGGTCAGCAAGTTGTGTTATTGTTAACTAAGGCCCCGTCCACACGGAGACACGTTTAGCTGTATACGCATAAATTTTGTATCGTATAGGCATTTCGTCCACACGGATCCGGCGTTTTGTGAGAGTGAAACCGATATTTTTTGAAACCGGGTCCCAGAGTGCTGAAAACACCGCTCTTGCGTTTTCATGTGGACAGCGAATCCGTATATTTTCTGAAACGATGACGTCATCAGCCCACGTCTCGCCCCTAGTCAGACACCGTTACGTCACGTAACAGCAACAAAAACATGAACAAACACTGAACGATTGTCTTTTTATTAACTAACATTAACACAGATGAATAAATGTATTGTTTCATGTTCGTTTGTATACTAGTGATGCAAAGTCCGATTCATTTCCGCAAACCGGTTCTTTTGTGTCAACACATATTGAAACATTCAAAAAATAAAGTTATTTGTGTGAAAGCATATTGCTGATTATTGCCATATAAGTCAAGTTAATGGTGTTTCTGGTCACAGTTTCATTAGTGGATCCTTTATGTCAGATACGACTGACTGACCAATATTGACTAGCCTACAGCTTGGACAAGATTCCCAAAAGTTTCGCACCTACAGCACACATTACAGAAATTGATGCACAAACACGGATATGTTCTACATGTCTACAGTATAAAGAATGAATAAACCAGTCTTATAAACTCCTTGATTTCGCTTAA